CGCAGTTCAAATATATGATATTTCATATATTCATTTGCATTCTTCACCATCTACGGATATATTACAAACTCACAACATGACCAGCTCCCAGTTGGTTTGATAGCTCAGTTACTAGAGCACTGCACCGGTATCGCAGAGGTCGTGGGTTCGAATCCCGTTCAAGCCTTAATTATTTCTAAGGCTTTAAATTCACAACTGCTGAAGTTGTGTGTATACTGCGATGATCAATCATATGTCTTCATCACATGTGAATCTTAAGACAGAATCTTAAGTTGACGAAATTTTGGAAGAAAATGAACGCATAGTCAGTGTATAATGGTGTTATAATAGTCTTTTTTGCTGATGACGACAGAGTCCTTGCTCCAGTGATCCGTGTTTGAACCAAGCAACTTGTGTGGCCAAGTACGAGAACAACGATTATCAGTGCGCATGTGCTGTAGGATATGCTGGGAAACATTGTGAAATAGGTATTTGAAACCTCACTTTGAATTAAACATAGATATTTTTAGATACCGAGAACCCCTTCGATGGCTTTAAAACAAAATTTCGATTCATTTAGTTGAAAAAAGACAGAAGAGAAACTTCAGTTCAACATGGCGGTCTACTGAGATGTTTACACGGTTCCCTTTAAATTACCAATTGCTAGATTGCGACAGCACTGCTAAGCACAGAAAAATCACAATTGCATTAGAGATTCCACATCCCTGTGAAATCATGTGATAGTTTTCTCCAATTTGTCTTCAGCACAAACAGTTGATTGCCAGGATATAAAGAATCGAGGTCTTTCTAAGGGCGACGGCTTGTACTGGTTGGACCCGGATGAAGGAAGTTATTCAAACGCATTCCAGGCCTACTGTGACATGACGTCATTTAATGGAGGATGGACAATGTGTTACACTACTGATGAACATGCCAAACCCAAGGATGAAATCGTATACAACGTTCTGTTTCCTTACGGAAGTGTGGGGTACAGGACAGACTGCAACAACATCCTTGTAAGTTAATTATGTTTTATCCACTCTTGGTCTATTCACCTTTGTTCCAATAAAATAATCTTTTGTGTTGAATAATCCAATCCAGTCAAATAAATTCTCATGTTATTTTTTCTTTCTAATACTCTAATACTCTACTAATTCTGATACTCGGTTTTGTTTAAACAAAGAGGCTTTTACTTTTTTCTACAGTTATTTATCTTT